ATGTTTATATATTAAATATATTTATATATAATATAAAATATAAGAATATAAATATATATACATTTAAATATACAGTATGTGTGTATTTATATATACACATAATAAATATACACAGTACACATACATATAGCATGTAAACAAAAACTTTTATTTTGTATTATTTGTTAATCGCGATTAATCGTTTGACAGCACTAATTATATTATATTATTATAAAAATTGGAGCCGTTCTGCGTGAGAATTTCTTGGTAATGCAGCACTGTAAAAAAAAAATGTTTTCTCTGGTAACCTAAAATGTGCATTATTTATGGTCAAACCAAATATAAATAGCACATTACAGTTAAACAGGTCTGGTATAAATAATGTTTTTGCTCAAATGTCCGCACAATAGAGAAAAGTTTTGCTCCGCAAGAAATAAATTAGAGGGAACACTGGCCTTCACAGTGAATGAACTATGTGATGGTGATGTTGTTAGGTTGACATGGCAACGCTGACCGAGCAGATCATCGAGGCCACGCCTGAGCGAATCAAACGGGAGGAGTTTAACCGGGAGGCGGAGTCACCGCTGCGAGAGAGGCGGGACAATCCTGCCATTCACGACACCATGCCGTGGCTCGCCACATACCTCGACACCGTCGACAGGTACATAAACACAAAGAACCTCTGCAGTAGTTAAAAAAATAATAATAATAAATTAATTAATACTTTAATTCATCAAGGATGAGATTTCTATTTCAAATAAATGCTGTTCTTTTGAACTTTCTGTTCATCTGTGAATCCTGAAAAATAAAATGTATCACAGTTTCCACAAAAATATTGTGCAGCACAACTGTGTTCAACATTGCTAATAATCAGAAATGTTTCTTGAGCAGCAAATCAGCATATTAGAATGATTTCTGAAGATCATGTGACACTGAAGACTGCAGTAATGATGCTGAAAATACAGCTGCGCATCACAGAAATAAATTACAGTTTAACAGATATTCACATAGAAAACAGCTGTTTTACATTATAATATTATTTTAAAAATTGTTCCTGTATTTTTGACCAAATAAATGCAGCCTCAGTGAGCAGAAGAGACTTCTTTCAGAAAAATGTATAAATCTTACAGACTCCAATCTTGATTCAAACAGTAACGCACAGCACTAGCAATGTCAAGATTCGATTCCCAGCGAATTAATATTCAGAATACTTTTTTTTAAATATAATATTACTGATGACAGTTTTTAAATGAAAGTCAGTATAAATTAATCTAGTTGTCTAATAAACATGGCATTGTATTTAATGAATGTTGTTGGCTCTTCGACATTACATTTGTTCCTGAAAACCGCTTTGGATACACAAGCATCTGCTAAATGCATAAATGTAATAAATGTACGTTATCATCTCTTTGATGTGATTTTATTGTAAAATGTGACCCAAATGTGAGATTAGTGTTGTTGATTTCTTTACTTTCCTGAGCTCAAGTCACCTACACTGGGAATCCCATGTATAGTTAGTAATAGTAATAGTTAGTAATAGTTACATTGTACTAGTTTTCACTTGTCTGTTCCTACTGTGTGTGTGTGTGCGTGTAGGGGTCTGTGTCCCACCCCTCCATCGCTCCTCAGTGATTTGGCGCTGCAGAGGCTCCGCCCCCCGAGCAGCGTGGCGTGGGCGGAGTTTCTGAACGCCTCAGCCAATGGGAGGATGGAGAGAGACTTCGCTCTGCTGACGCTGACGGACACGGAGCAGAGAGAGCTGTATGAAGCTGCGCGCATCATCCAGAACGCCTTCCGCAGATACAAGGTACACACACACTCACACAAACTCTCACACACACACACACACACACTCGATGACTGACTGTGAGTGTGTGTCTGATTTGATAATGATTGGTTGTTGTGTTTAGGGGCGGAGGCTAAAGGAGCAGCAGGACAATGCCGCAGCCGTAATACAGCGCTGTTACCGCAAATACAAACAGGTACAAAACACACTAAATATCAATTCCAAATACATGTCTTTAAAGCAAAAAACAAATCCCGCACACTACCTATGCAAAAAACATCAAAATATTTATTGACAAAGTTTCGGTCGCATGACCTTCATCAGGAATTTTTTACACATGACATCACAAAGTACACCCCATTTAAAAACAGATTGATGAATTCATGACCAATCGCCGTAAAGATCCATTGATTAATAACAACCCGCAATAGGTACATCATCAACTTTCATGTACATATACACATAAACATATCCTGTACATACATACTAGCACATACATCAGGCCCAGATTGCATTATAACATCACATTAAATAAAGCTTCATCATTCATGCCATTAGGCGATAATGTCTGAAGGGTAAAGATCCAAAACAGTTCACGTTGATGTAAGAGCAATTCAATATCGCCACCTCTAGGTGGCACATTAACCCTTTCAATACCACAAAACCGTAAGGTAGAAACATCATGATTTAAGGCAAGAAAATGAGCTGCAACTGGATAGTTCATATCTTTTCTCCTGATAGCACACTCTCACACACACGCACGCACGCACGCACACACACACACACCGACCGACTGAGTGTGTGTCTGATTTGATAATGATTGGTTGTTGTGTTTAGGGGCGGAGGCTAAAGGAGCAGCAGGACATGGCCGCAGCCGTAATACAGCGCTGTTACCGCAAATACAAACAGGTACAAAACACACTAAATATCAATTCCAAATACATGTCTTTAAAGCAAAAAACAAATCCCGCACACTACCTATGCAAAAAACATCAAAATATTTATTGACAAAGTTTCGGTCGCATGACCTTCATCAGGAATTTTTTACACATGACATCACAAAGTACACCCCATTTAAAAACAGATTGATGAATTCATGACCAATCGCCGTAAAGATCCATTGATTACTAACAACCCGCAATAGGTACATCATCAACTTTCATGTACATATACACATAAACATATCCTGTACATACATACTAGCACATACATCAGGCCCAGATTGCATTATAACATCACATTAAATAAAGCTTCATCATTCATGCCATTAGGCGATAATGTCTGAAGGGTAAAGATCCAAAACAGTTCACGTTGATGTAAGAGCAATTCAATATCGCCACCTCTAGGTGGCACATTAACCCTTTCAATACCACAAAACCGTAAGGTAGAAACATCATGATTTAAGGCAAGAAAATTAGCTGCAACTGGATAGTTCATATCTTTTCTCCTGATAGAACTCTTGTGTTCACTAATTCTTTGTTTAAGTTGACGTGATGTTTTTCCAACATAACCTAAACCACAAGGACACCGAATCAAATAAACAACATACGTAGAAACACAGGTAATAGCGAAGTTAATTCTATATTTTTTACCGGTTCTTGGATGGGTCCGGGTCAGAGGACAACAAATACCAATATTTCTTAAAAATCGATCTCATAAGATAAGACTTAGTTGAATGCGTTGTAATAAAAGTAAAATAATTTTTTTTACTTTTTTTGTTTTCTTTTTTACAGTTTTTCTCAATTGCTTTGGCTCAATTCTCGAATGAAACTTTTTTTCCCTGAAACAATAAGTTCAGATCTCTGAACAATTAGCTTCTTGTTCACATCAGATTGGAATTTCTTATTGATTTGAGCAAATTGCAAATACTTTGGCACATGTGTGCAAACAGTAAGTACAATTGTCTGCAGTTTGCACAACAACTAATTGCATATGGCTTGTTGATCAAAACTGATGAGCCGATTCTCACTTAAACTCACAGTTTAGAGAATGTTAAGATTGTTTCGAAAAATGTGCCAAAGCAATTGAGAAAAACTGTAACAACTCAGAACGTGTCTTTTGAAAAGCACTATTAAACCGCTTCTTCAATCCATTCAGAAGGGTAACCCCTATCCAAAAACATATTTTTCATGATTAACCATTTATCAATAAAATCTTCGTCAGAATAACAAATCCTCCTCAATCTATAAAATTGGCTCTTAGGAAGTCCCTTTTTTAAAGAAGTCGGATGAAAGCTGGCTGCAAGTAACAAAGTATTACGATCCGTGTCCTTAGTGTACAAACTCGTTATCAGTTTATATAGTATAAAGGTTTGTTATGTCCAAAGTTAGTAATAAAGAAGTTTCAGGTAAACCGTTTAGCTCAGAAATCTTATTAATAAAGTCAGACGAGTCTCTAATGCAAGATGGTAACAACTGAACGAAAGGTTTAATAAAGAAATCAGCATATTGTGATAAGGGAGATAAAAGAGAATTAGTCTGAGCCACAATGGGACGTCCTGGAGGATCAATTAATAAATTGGGTTTATACCACTAGTCGGAACAAAAGATAAACCTTTTGACAACACCCCAATCTGGTCAGTTGAGAGTTATTTTTTGGAAATGTTTACGGTGACAAGTGTCCACGGTCGTAGATTTCTTTGAGGCCCTTGAGCCTCTACGACATTTCTTCTTTTTTGTGGTCTCCGTAAAGGAGCTCGTCTGTCCAATGTGTTTGTGTTTGTGTTCTGTCTGTTGACGGTATTTTCTGATTTATGGAGTGATAAAAAGAGAAATCCAGAATCCCCTCTGGAAAAGCTTTTAACTCTAATATGACGACAGAATCAGACAAGAATTATGAACCTGGATTCAGATTTCTGTTCTAAAAATGTATGCAAATTTAGTTAGACAATGATTCACTTGCATATTTAAAAATAACAACTTGTCATGCCAAAAATGTTTGCAGTGCTTAATGTAATCAGTCAACTGGGAAAGTAGGTTTAATTTTTACCCTTAGGTGCCTTTCCTTAAGAGCATTCCATTTGGTTTTATACCGTTTTTACAAGAACGTTACCAAAATGAGGCTTTGTGTGTGTGTGTGTGTGTGTGTGTGTGTGAGAGAGAGAGTGAGTGTGTGTGTGTGTGTGTGTGTGAGAGGGAGAGAGTGAGTGTGTGAGTGTGTGTGTGTGAGAGAGAGAGTGAGTGTGTGTGTGTGTGTGTGTGTGAGAGGGAGAGAGTGAGTGTGTGAGTGTGTGTGTGTGAGAGAGAGAGTGAGTGTGTGTGTGTGTGTGTGTGTGAGAGGGAGAGAGTGAGTGTGTGAGTGTGTGTGTGTGAGAGAGAGAGTGAGTGTGTGTGTGTGTGTGTGTGTGAGAGGGAGAGAGTGAGTGTGTGAGTGTGTGTGTGTGAGAGAGAGAGTGAGTGTGTGTGTGTGTGTGTGTGTGAGAGGGAGAGAGTGAGTGTGTGAGTGTGTGTGTGTGAGAGAGAGAGTGAGTGTGTGTGTGTGTGTGTGTGTGAGAGGGAGAGAGTGAGTGTGTGAGTGTGTGTGTGTGAGAGAGAGAGTGAGTGTGTGTGTGTGTGTGTGTGTGAGAGGGAGAGAGTGAGTGTGTGAGTGTGTGTGTGTGAGAGAGAGAGTGAGTGTGTGTGTGTGTGTGTGTGTGAGAGGGAGAGAGTGAGTGTGTGAGTGTGTGTGTGTGAGAGAGAGAGTGAGTGTGTGTGTGTGTGTGTGTGTGAGAGGGAGAGAGTGAGTGTGTGAGTGTGTGTGTGTGAGAGAGAGAGTGAGTGTGTGTG